GACAGTTTATGGGGTCATGTCGGACTGTTGTAGCAGACTATGTTGTGACAGTTGTTGTGACAGTTTACGGAGTCTTGCTGGACCCTTGTAGAAACTAACCGGAATCAATGTCGGGACAGTTTACAAAGTCTTGTCGGACCCATGAAGGAGCTAACCGGAATCAATGTCGGGACAGTTTACAGAGTCTTGTCGGACCCTTGTAGAAAGTTGCACCCTCAAAAGGCGCGCCCAATCTGCCCTCAAAAGGCGTGCCCGCACCCTCAAAAGGCGTGCCATCAAAAGGCGTGCCCAATTCATCAAAAGGTGTGCCGGACATGATGGCGAGGCACGTGAGTGTCTTGGCTGGCGCCCCGTTTGTCGTCTGGCGTCAAGGGGCGCGCGATACGCGTGGCTGCCTTGGCTATTTAACCAAGACGAAGGTTGAGGCCGAGGCAGAGGCTGAGACAAGAAACTGAGAGAAACCTCTGAAAATTTGCATTCTGAAAGACTCGGTAAACACTCTGTAACCCAGAAAAAAATGGCTTCGTCTTCCCGTAGTCTGCTTACTCTCTTTCCCGACCTCAACGAGTCAACAAGAGAGATAACTGATGCGGTGGCTAGTGAACCTCAACCAAGCGCCTCTGGTTTTGCTCCGTTGAACTTTCCGATGCGGTCGGTGGAGCAAAAAATGGCAGTGCAAACGGATATTGAGGCCAATCAGTATACATTGAAGTCATGTGTGGAAACCATGACTGCGGTCACAAACTTGTCGCACCGGCTGCAGAGTAGGACAAATGAGGTGCAGCATTTAAACTCCCAGCTGGCTCTGCTCCAACGCATGTATAAGGATGCGCGAGCAGAGATAAGCGTGCTAAGGACAGAAAACAAGGAGCTGAAGCTGAAGGCCACCGTGATGTTCCGATTTGGAGGTCCTCCATATGTTGCAGTGGAGGAGTATGGGGGAGTGAACGTGCTTGGTGGACAAGGAAGTTCCGAGGCAGCACCGTCAAGGACCGCCCAGGACGGAGGAAAAAAAAAGAGACCTGCAGCAGAGTAAAGAAGAAAAATCCCACTGTGGGTGTGGGTGTTTTGTTTTGGTTTGTGTTTTTTTTTTTTTTGTTTTTTTTGTTTTTTTTCTTATTGTGTTGGTGAAACTAATTAATGAATTATTTTGATCCATTATGTTTTCTTATAATGTTTCATTATATTGGGATATAGGTGGATTTATTTGGATTTTTTTTGCCATTTATCTATAAGAAAAACAGTATTGGAACATAAGAAAACAAAGTTGAGTAAGTGGAATATAGGTAAGTAAGGAAGAATTTATGACCTTGTTTGGTTGTTTTTTTTTTTTTTTTTTTTGTGTAAAATTGTGATCGGGGTGGATCCCTGAGATGAATAAAATATGGTTTGGTGTGCAAAGCTATATGGTATGAAATGAATTGGAAAAAGATTAAAAATAATGTGAAAGAAAAATAAAGAAAAAATAATAAAAATATATTTGAAATCAAAAATGAAAGATGGGGGAAATAAGGAAAGTGGTTTGGAGAAAATAAATAAAAATAATGGAGTTGGAAATCAAACGGAGGAGAGATGATGATGTTTGTTTGTTTGTTTTTTTTTTTTTTAATATAATATAATATAATAAAAAGAGAGATATATATATATAATAAAGAAAGTGGGGAACAAGAGTGTAATGAAAAGAAAAAATATAGGTTGGAGAAACATCGTGGGTCACATGGGTGAGTAAAAGAAAAAAAAAATAAAGAAATGAAAAGAGGGGGACAAAAGTTGGTGTCTGGGTGTGATGATAAATAAATAAGAAAAGAAAAGAAAGAAAAGAAGAGAAGCATCCGAAGTGGGTTTGAAAAAGTAAAGTGATGCCCAAGTGGGTTTGAAAAAGTAAAGTGAGAGAGAGGAATTATGAATTATAAATTGCTGTTGCTAGTGGTAGGGCCCACCAGCACTATTCACTTCAAAATGGTGGAATGGTGTGCAAGGATAGTGCTGGCACTTCAATAGGTGGTACAGCCTTCTGAGCATCAGCTTTGACAGGAGCTGCCTTTGGACCTTTTTCTTTTCTGCAGACGAACAAAATAACCAGGAGGAGATGCATGTGCCTGGTCGTTTTTGGTTTGGAAGATCGAAGTGTTTAAAAATGGAGAGAGATTTCTGCCGTGTGCACTTACAGAAAAGAAACTTTGTGCAGAGCAGAGCAACGCCTCCAACTTCCACCTCGAATCCGAATGCGAGATTTGAAGTGAGAACTCGATCAACTAGTGTTCTTAAAGGATGCGAAGTAGGTCTTGTTATTGAGCATACAGTGGTGGTGCATGAAAAAAAAAGATGCACCGATTAAAATAGAAAAAACATATATTTCATAACTTAAAGATCAAGATATCATTCACTTAATAATCTAAAGAATGCAAAACAATTCTAGAACATTACAATACACATGATGTATTCAACTTATAAATGTTTCAAATTGCTCAATTTGGAGTGCACAAGTTGCATTTTGAAGAATGTAAAACATTGTTACTATGAAGAGATTCATCATAGGTTGTCTTTGGAGTGTTCAAGAAGTATCGCCGAGTGTCTGTAAAGTGATTGATATTATGAATTTGAAATTTTCATTAAGACATTTTAAAAGAAGTGTCGAACATGACATGTTTTAGGATTGTTTGTAGAGTGTTGTGTCCGACATGATACTTCTCCTTCGTAGAAATGTCTGTGCTTTTTTGATTTAGAGACAGCGGAGATGCTTTTGACTGGTTAAGTTTGCTTTAAGGTTAATTTATACTCTTTGAACGTGTGTTGGGCTGATTAGAAATGGGAATCTGCCATGACGTCCATTGGCTTGCATCATTAGTGGTTGAATAAAAAAATTTAGTTATAAGGAACTTTGCTTATTGACTAATTTGATAGTGGCCCTTAGAGCCCCATCCTCTTGTGGATATGTTCCATTTGGTTTCTGTTCTGCAGTTGTTGCCATTCTATTATATTGCAGCTCCTGTGACTGAGACTGTGCATGTTGGTTGCACTGACTCAATCCCCTTCTCTTCTGCACTAATTCAACAAATAAATGTATTTAATAGATCAAGACCGGCCTATAAAAGCTTCTAACTGCGGGCCTTATAGTTGAACCTGGGCTGGAGGGTGTTTTATTTGAATTGCAGCTATCACATGGATAATCTGGCTGGTCTTGACCCTGTGTGGCTCCCTTTTAAATATCTGCTTTTTCTTTTGTGTCTGCTGCTTTCTATTTTTTCCCTTCAGTTCATTTGTTCGTTTGTTTTTTTTTGTGTGCCCCTTGATCCCCACCTGATTGGGATACAAGGGTTTGTTTAGTTTGGTTTGGTTTGGTTTTTTTTATATTTTATTTTATTTTTTTCCCCCTTGATGTCTCCAATTGCTGACACATATATGAAGCATTGTTTGCAAGGAGTTGGAAAAGAAAAAAAAAAAGATGTTGGAATTTCAGAGTTCAATCTGAAGGCGATAGTGGTTAGGTGAATAATGGTGTCCAATTGGACCAGCAAACAGTTTTATGGTTTTTTTTTTTTTTTTTATTTTTTTTTTCTTAGAATATAAAAATTTAGGTGATCAATTCCAGGGCTAATAAATTACTTTTTATTTATCAAAAAATTAAAAAAATTACTTTGTGGCAGGTTTATTGTCCTGGAACTTCCCACCCATGAGAAGCTTGTGCAGTATCTCTGCCGGGTTTTCGTTGAAAATAAATAAACCCTTTGTCCATCCTCTTTATAATAAAATGCAGCAATGTGCAGATCATTGGCAGTGAAATGAGATTATGTCACACTGCTCTTGTGATTAAAATCTTCTTTTCTATATATCGTGTACTCTTAGATTGCCGAGTGGCAGAAGTAGGAAAAAGAAAAGGAAGGTAACAGAAGTAACTAGTGAGTAGTCCCTATGATTGTGTAATCCCCTGCAACACGGGCAATTACTGGGATAAGTCCTTGGGGATGGCACCAAGTAGGATGGCATGAATGATCTCCACTTCCCATAAAAGTACTTCCTATGTAATCTTCCTTGGGGTTATACAGATTTTCATATGGTAGAATGATAACAAGGTATGTTGCAACCATTTTAAAGATGTACTATTTGTTATGTGTTAGGGAACAAGGACAGTACAAGAACCCTGCAAATTGTAGCAGATGGAGGCGCCCGCCTGTTGAGGAGGTTGTTTGATGATTAAGTTTTAATGTACAAATATTTGGGAAATTTCTGCTCTCTAGCTTTACTGGACAATTATAATACTGAAATGTGAAATTTGTTTTTTTACAGGTGCTATCGAAATTAGCCACTCATTTTTTTAGGGTACATTCAAGACTCTGCGTAGATGAAGCTGAATTAGCTGAACATGTTGTAGGTTTGACTTGCAGCTTGGCCTCTTGCCAATTCAGGTACTGTTAGAAATATTGAAGTAATTTGAAGGCCAAAAATATAGTGCGGAAATGTAACTTTTCATTTCTTTCTCCTTGTCTTTTGGTATCCTAAAACTATATGGGTTCGTTTGGTTTGTATTTGGTGAAGTGGAGTGTGTAGTGGAGTAGGTGAAGGTAAAGATGGGAAATTCTAACAGGTACTGTATGGTCAACTTCAGTAATTTGAAGGCCAAAAATATAGTGCGGAAATGTAACTTTTCATTTCTTTCTCCTTGTCTTTTGGTATCCTAAAACTATATGGGTTCGTTTGGTTTGTATTTCTGAAAAATTTTTGGGAAATTTTCTCTACAAATAAGTTTTTAAAAGTAATCAAACCAAACAAATTTTTCCAAAAAAATTTCTCAAAACTTGTAAACCAAGCAAGTTTTCCAAACAAATCTCTCTCTCACACACATCAAATCAATCACTTTTTCCAAAACTCTCTCTCAAAATAATTTTCCAAAACATCTTTTGAAAAAAACCAAACCTAACAACTTTTCGTACTTTTTATCTCTAAAACACATCTCTCAAACACAAACCAAACATACCCTATATGTTCTTCTGTACATATTGATTTTGGTGGCCTTTATTGAAGACAAAATGCAGTCATCAAAATATGTAAAAGCAAGAGTTGAGGTTGTTTTGCCTCAAGTTGCAAAAATCTATTAATCCCCTGAGAAATGTTGAAATGATTTTCTATAAGTTCTCTATTACAGCCCTGTCTCCTTCTTGAAGAAGCAGGGACACTTCTAAGAAGGTACAATGTTGGTGTTGGAAGCTTGTTGGACACTCTTCAACACGTGCCAAGCATGTGTCCAAATGTGTCCTATTTCTTATAATTTTTGGAACCAGACATTATTCGGACACTTGGGGGACACACGTTGCCTTGACACACACCTAACATGGACACGGACACTGGTATAGACATGGGACATGGCTATTTTTTAAAAAATTAGGACAAGGACACAGTAGGGATAGGAATTTTTATTTTACTTGGTTTTAATTGCTATGTACATGAATATAAATTTTGGGCATAGAGACATAAGAGGCATCAACCTATATGTGGGTGTATTGTTGTTTTTCCCCACTTTCTCCCCTCTTTATTGCTAACATTTTACTTTGACCCAAATCAGCTTTCTAAAACTATATGAACGAAAAAATCACAAAGATGGCCTAAGACGTATCCAAACTTAGGATACATGTATCTGTAAAGTGTCTCCAAAGTGTCTTGCAAAAAAAAAATAAAAAAAAATAAAAAAAAGTTGACGCACCATGTGATGTGTCTGACACATGGACATGCATGTTGGTGTCTGATACATGTCGGATACAGACACGACACCCATTTTGGACTGTCCATGCTTCCTAGACACACACAAAACACATGCATGTTTAAAGAATATCTTCGGATCTATTGATAATATAAAGGGAGGCAAAAAATGGCAAAAAAGTTGGAATCTCAATATAACTTTTATACAGCCCAAAATATTTCTACATACTTTTATACACTTTTTTTTATCCATTTCAATACACTCTTTACACATAACTATTGGTGATTTTTAGCTATGTTAGAAACAGAAAAATGTCAAATTGATATAATTGGCAGGCTTATTTCTTAGCAGTTTAAGCTCCAAAAGGTGTGGGCTGCTTGGCATGGTTTTGGAACTCAGGTTCTAATAGGTCTTTGTTTCAAGTGTTTATGTGGATTCATTTTTTCCTTTAAATGTCTGGCTGGATTTTATATATATATATATATATATGAGGGAGATCACATCTGAAAGAAAGTTTGAGAGCATGATATATATTGGTGGGCCCAGTCCCTGCCAACTTAAGCTTTTAGAGGAGTTGGTTGATTAACAGAAAACATATCTCATATTAAAAAAACTCGCATTTGCTAGACTGTAAAAAAACTAATTAGAAATTTATGGTAGTTTGAATTAGTGTTTATAGGTGCGTTTGTAAAAATCATATTATGCATAATGTAATTTCATCATGGATATTTGTTTCTTTCATTCTTTTCTTGTCATTCTTTTTTCCAAATCTGTTAGGGACTATTGAGTCCAAATATAGTGAGACTTACTGGTCCAGTGCAGTTACCAGGTTGATGTGCTAGATAGAAAGAGGCACTTTGTGTTGATCTTATGCAAGCTAATCTACGGAATCATATACTAGCACATTACCCGTGCTATGCACGGATTGTGTTTACAATTATCTATATATGTGAATTGTGATTTTTAAATGTCTTTTTTTTTAAAAAAAATTTCTTCTTTTTTTCCTTTTTTATATTATAATTAAAGTTTAATATTTTGAATAATAATCATATGTGTTAGACTTTTCAAGTAAATTAAATGTCTTTTTTTTATTATATTATTAAAAGTTAATATTTTGATATAATCATATGTGTTTGGACTTTTTAAGAAATTTTTTATTATACTTGTTCTTAATGCATTAAAGTGTTTCTATGAGGATATAATCATATGTGTTGGGACTTTCAGGAATTCATATGTGTTGGATTTTCAAAGAATTTTTTTTATGCTTGTTCTTAATGCATTAAAGTGTTATTATGAGGGTAAGATTGGGGGTTGGGAGAAATCTTAATAAATGCTAAGATTTTTTTTGAATTGCGATTTTTAAATGTTTTTTTTTTTTTTTTTTTTTTTTTAATGTCTTCTTTTTTTTCCTTTTTTATATTATATTAAATTTAAATATTTTGATGATAATCATATGTGTTAGACTTTTCCAAGGAATTAAAGTCTTTTTTGTTATTATATTATATTAAATTTTAATATTTTGATAAAATCATATGTTTTAGACTTTTCAAGAATTTTTTTTTACTACTTGTTCTTAATGCATAAAGTGTTATTATGAAGGGATAATAATCATATATGTTGGGACTTTTCAAGGAATTCAATATGTGGATTTTCAAAGAATTTTTTTTCATGCTTGTTCTTAATGCATTGAAGTGTTATAATGAGGGTTAAGACTGTGGGGTTGGGAGAAGTTAATAAATGTTTAAGGTTTTTTTTTTTTTTTTAAATCAAAAATTAAGAATTTAGATTGGAGATTGGAGCTCCCACAAGGCTTGGGTTAAAAACCCCTTTTGCTTAATATATAGTATAGATATTTGCAAAATATTATGATTCAATTTTTATAGTTGCATATTGTCAATGACCCTTAAATTAAGATAATTTGTTTTAGTTTTAA